TCATCCCCCCTCGGATTGGCGTCTCCCGCCCCGCACCTCCCCCCCCAGGGCCTTTGCACCGGCCCCTCCCCTGCTAGTGACGTTTTCTCCCAGACACACAAGCCGGTGGCCCTCCCCAGTGGTGCCTGATGAGACTTTGTCCCTGAGTTCCCAGGGAAGTGGGCTCCCGCTCTCACCCACATCTGCCCGTAAAGGCTTCAGTCCTGTCCAAAGCACTGAGCACCTTGACGCTGATTAGAGATTTCCGTGTAAAGAGCTTACCCTCTCCGCGGCTGGAGGGTCCGCCTCGTCAGGGCAGGCCGTCTCTTCCCTCTGCGGAATCCCCAGTGTGTGCGCATGTGTGCATGTGCGTTCCCCCACAGGCGTGTCTGCATGTGTGTGCACTCCCCCACATGTCTGCACGTACATGTGCCCAGGCGTGTGCACAGGGAAACAAGCCCTGTCTATTTGCTGTGTGGCTCCCAGACCATGCCTGGACCTGGCCCACGTGCTGGTCCAGCCACCCCGGGACAGAGGGAAGGCGCGTCCCTGCAGCGTTTTCTCACGACGGCCGCAGGACAGGTGCCGCACGCCCGGCCGCCCGCCTGCATGGAGCTGGGTTTCACTTGCGCAGTGTGGAGGAGGGCGGGGACAGGCAGGCGGGACTGCATCTTCCCCCGGGACTGAAGGGCTTAATGAGGCTAGTGATACTTGGCACCGAGCCCCAGGCCTGGGCCACCCGTTTCACACGCGTCGCCGCCCGCACCTCACCAGGCCCAGCTGCTGGGGAGCTGGGTACCCGTGTCTGGCTCTGTCTCAGCCATGAGCACTCAAAAGGGAAGGAATAACAGACAAAGCAGCAGTCCCCCACAGCAGGCAGCCACTGTACAGGCTCACTGTGGCCGAATTCAGGTCCCCCCGCTGCCTCTGCTGGACAGCTCGCGATGCAGGTGGCAGAGCCAGCGAGAGGCCTGGGGCACCTCCGACCGAGGCTCGTGGTTAACAAGGGATGGAACCTGCTCCCCTGCCTGGTGGGCATTTCTCGGCCTCAGAGTGGGGTCTCACTGCACCAAGGCCAGCTGACTCCTTGCCAGCTGTTTCAAGGGTCCCGATGTCCACCTGTGCTGACAGGGCCACCCCGACAGGCTTCCCCAGGCAGCCGTGGTGATGGCCAGGGACAACATTCCGCCCTGTGCAGACTGAAGCTCGTGTATAGATGGACATGCAGTCACACTCGAAGCTGCTGTGGAAGCCTATGCCAGGTCGCCCTCAAGTTCCGCAGTCCACATGTGGAGAGTCGCACTTCCTGGGGTGGTGCCGGTGTGAGGAGCTCGCGCTCGGGGAGCAGGGGCGTGGTTCGAACCCTGGCAGCTGGCCTTTGGCCGTGTGACGGGGCAGGCCATGGAACCTCTGTGAGCCGGCTCCCTGTCTCAGAGTGGAACTCCTTCTCTGACAGTGGGCGTGAGGGTCCAGTATGACGTTGTCCCCTCTGTCATTAGGAGGCTGGCACACCTACTGGCAGGAGACGGGCCCTAGGAGGGAGTCCGCAGCAGCCACACCGTGGCCGTCCACAGCGACCGGGCCGGCAGTTCCCAGAAGCCTGGGCAGACCGTGCACCAGCGGGCTCTTTGAGAGGAATGGCCCGCTCTGGGTGGAGAAGCCAGGACCTTTGCCACGACAGCCTTTCTGGTTTGCCTGACCTTCGGGGCTCTCTGCTCCCAGCTTCTCTGTTAGGAATCTCGTAAGAGGAGCTTCCGTTCCTTTTCCTTTTTGAGAGATTTTTATTATAGGACACGTGTGCTTGCCAGAGAGGCAGAAAGCGAGGACTCGCCCCTGGGGCGATGGCCACGGCACAGTTCCTTCTCTCCAGTTCCCTCTTTGGAACCTGGGTGTGCACACACACATGCCTGGTGTGAGTTTCAAGCTGTCGGGTCCTCGAAGCATGGCAGCCAGTGGGAGTCCAGCAACTTAACCCCACACCACCTGGCGCCCTGCCTCCCCCTCTTTCCTGACTGTCTCGCCTGCATTCGGGCTAGAAACGTGCCACTGGCGTGTTCTCCACCTTGGCGGCTAAACCAATGACAGCAGCGGTGGCACTGAGCCCTCCTGTCCGACCTCTGAAAGGTCACTCAGCGAGTGTGGCCTCCACACACTCGCAGACTTGCTCCTACGGCCCTGCGGTCCTGCCATGTGTTAGGACAGTCGGTCCTGGATAGGTGGCAGCTGCAGCCGAGGCCCTGCTGCAGACCTGCCCCACAATGGCTGCTGCGCTGCTGCAAGGCGGCAGACCTGGTGGGTGTGTAGCCAGGCTTTGCCCCCCGGGCCCAAGGGCAGGGCTGGGAGCTGGCATTTCAGGGGCAACTCTTCGTCCAGGGACATGTGGGCCAATGTCTGTCGGCCTTGGACCTGCGAGAGTTCCGCAGGAGGCTGAGGCCTGTGGCAAACCGAATTCGAGTGACCAGACTCAGGGTCACGGTGCTGGGCCTAACCCACCGGCTCTGGTGCCCAGCCGAGCTGCACGCTGAGTGCTTCGCTGTGGGCAGTGAGAGCCAGGCCGGCGTGTCAGAGCCCCAATCGGAAGCCAGGTGTGCTGGCTCTGCAGTCCCAGCTGCCGTGGTCACGGCCGGTGACCTGCAACCCTGGCAGGCCCCGAGCGTTCCTGAGGGGAGTGTCTAAACTGCAGGTGTGCAGTCCAGCCGGCCGGCCTGGGCACAAGCAGGTCAGGGGCCGGGCTCACTGCTCCCGCCCCAGTCCTCCTGGTCCCAGCTGGGGCAGGAGCACCCAGATGCAGAGCTGCAGCAGCAGAGGTTACCAGTCAGGAGTGCAGGAGTGAAGCCCCCGGGGCAGGGGTGAGGGAGGCAAGGCAGAGTCCCAGTGCAGCCCCAGCCCCAGGGCTGGCACTTGTCCCTGTTAGAAAAAGCCGCCCTCTTGCCGTCAAGGGGGCCTGGCAGCTGGTACTGTCAGGCCAGGCCTCCCTGGAGGCTGGGCCCAGAAACGAGGTGATAGTGCAGGCCACTCCTCACTGCTCTGAATGCTCGCCCGGCCGAGGCCCTGCTGCAAACGTCGCGCAGGGCCCCTGGGCTACCATGGCGGGAGAGTGGCTGCAGGTGCGGGGGACCTGAGTGTCCTGCGGGCTAGTCTGGACCTGTGCCTTCTCAGTGGGACTCAGAGACCCTTGGTGGGAGGCACTCCCCAGAGGAGCCCCCGTGGGGAGGGCACGCCTCCCTGAAGGGAAGGCCTTGGTTCTCGGGCCAGAGGGGCCTGCAGAGGCGCCGCGGTGCCTGCGGGGCTGCCGGCAGGGGGC